CTGCGAATGTTTTAAATTGCTCAACTGATGGTCACCAACAACAAATAGTACTTTATTACAAGGCGGCAAAATGTATTTATATTAAAAGAGATGCCGAATAATCTTGTCACTTGATACATTTGACATCAGGTATCTTGTATTTGTCCAGAAGAGACCCCTTGTTATTGTATCATGTTTTGAGAATGAGTTCAATTTTGATATTTGTTGTTGATCTGAGCAAAATATTGATTATTGATTTGCCTCCTGAGGTACACATTATTGATTATTGATTTGCCTACTGAGGTACACATTATTTTGAGCGCCTGTTGTGATGAGTGACACTGAATTGCCCCAATTGTGGCTCAGGAAATGTACCTGTTGACTTGTCAAATAATCTCCTTAAATAATGTTCTGGGAAGTAATTTGTGTAACTGATTACAAACAAAAACAAGAGCTTGTTAACAGTATAATGAGGAAATTAATTCCATCTCATTATATTATTCAGCCTTGATAAAGCATATGGAGGCTTTCTGTCTGATTTGACCCTCATGCCTGTAATTGTTTGGGAATGCCTGATTATTAAGATCACAACATTTGTTTTGAAGCTTGGCCTTTGAAATCTAAACCCAAAGCATTATATGTGTGTTCACAATGTTCTTGGGATAAGAATGAAAATCAAATAAAATATTTCAACTCAATTAAATTCAGGAAATGTTAATTAACCATGGAGGTCAACCAGGTTATACTCAGGGCATATGGCTAACATAAGCATTTAAATTCCAAGTGCATACGATGTTGACATTCCTTGTTTTTCAGACCTTTTTGGGTCTTGTACTCCCTTTAACTGTTAAATATACTGTATGATATTGACATTTGCAAGAAAGATCTATTGTAGCAACAATAACTATTAAATGTTTTGATGATCATGGATATGGTGTATTGAGAGTCCATATTATTAAATTAAAGTGATTTTACATATCTGTCTCACAATCGAGGCAGCAATTTCCTTGCGACAGTATTAAATTCATAGTAAATACTTCTATCGATCCATTCGTTTTGCACTGTTGCTTTGTCTATTTAATAGATCTCCTTTACAGTTCAACCAAGGTTCTCAGAGCTAATTTGAAGACAATTTCAAATTTATTCAATATTTTTGGAAGAACTTTAACAGATTTTTTCATTTTAAAATAGATTTTTGTTCTTTATTTGTCGATTTCGGTGTTTATGCATTATATTGACGAATATATTGTAGCTAAAGCGATCCGCGATCGCACCCCCCTGTATAGTATTTGCTCCGATATATCACGTGACAAAATAATCCAGCCTTTACCAGGGCCTTTGCTGCCCTTCGCATCTTTCTTTAAAAGGCCCTGGGGACGAGGTTGGGCCTGATTTACAGGACCACTAGAGCTCTAACCACTGAACTAATGAAACATCTGTCCAGTATTGACTTCCTCGGCGTTAGTATTTTGTTAGCCAATTTATCTAGCTTGAACTACGAAGAGAGTTATTGTGAAAAATGGGAAAACAACTATAAGCCAATATGAAATATGATCGTTGGAAACTATGCACAAAATGGCTTTGAGGTTCATTAGCTCATTTCTGCCGGTATTGTAATTGCCTTCCCAGTACGTTGCTCCATACTATCTAAATTGAAATGACCCTACAATTACTGTTTATAGCGGTAAATATTGATATTTTGCCTAAAAGCATCTGAATTTTGTCCGCAGAATTTCTCATTTTGGCCGCCGAATTTGCCATTTTGGCTGCGGAATCTCTTATTTTGTCCGCGGAATTGACCTCAAAAATTAGGGATCCAACCGGAACTGTAAAAAAGTTCCGGCTGGAACCGATTTATTAAGCCATATATAGTTATATATTACTTTGTTTGCTGCTAGACACTTCAAGTGATCAAGGAGAGAGCTCGCAAACGTTAGATAAAAAGAGTTCCTTTTTGCTCCTTAATTTCTTATGTTAATAATCCCTGTTGTGCATCGATAGCTCAGGGGTAGAGCAGTAGCCTCGTAAACTGATGGTCTTGGGTCAATCTCGTTCCCAGAGTATGCCTGTTCGCGGGTTATGTAGGGGCATGACACTACATAACCCGCGAACAGGCATACTCTGGGAACGAGATTGGTCTTGGGTTCGAAAATCTCGTGAGGCTCTATATTTGTTTTGATTAAGGGAAAGTACATTTATTATGCCGAGGGGGGGATGAAGATGTTAAGGGGGGGCTCCGAAATATTTTCTGGCATTAAAGGGGGGGCTCTGAAAGTTCTTGATATACTGAAGGGGGGGCTCTAAACTTTTCAAAGGTTTGACCCCAGTAAATTAAAGTTAAAATTTTTACATTTTCAGGTAAAATTTGCGTAATAAAGTAATTATTTTTGTGAAATGATAACCATTTTTGTAAAATACAGTCAATTTACATGTAATTTGTTTGCGAAATTTGCTTTAGAAAACGCCAGCAATTCAGTCCTAGAGCTTCAAAAATGTAAAAATTTTCTGGGGGAGGACCCCCAGACCCCCCTTTTCTCCCAAAACTTAGTATGAGAGTGCCAATACGTATAATCCTCTGACGCCTTTTGGCGCCAGGTTTGTGAAGTAACTTACGCGCCAAAAAGTAGCAGTTCCAAAAACAAAAAAGCATATACGATTTGCAAGAATGATGTGTTCTATGTTTATGGGATATTTCGTACAAACGGGATGGAAATTAAAGAAATTGAAGCATAATGGCACTTTTGCATGCATTTTTGACAGGCATACAAAGACATTTGCAACAGATGCCGGGAGACACTTGGGTGGGGGCGACATACTGTAAGGTTCCAACACATTACCCTGATCCAGGAAATCCTGGCCACTACATGAACGTGTTCAAGACTCCGAATACGCTGAATGATGGACAACAACAACCTGTTGATAATTTCACCCCTAGAGCCAATTTAAAATGTTTTAAAGACGGTGCCATTTCATCTGGTGCTAGTGAGGTGAAAGAAGCAGCAGATCGGTAGTTTTGTTGAGGAGAAGCACATGCTTGAGTATATCAGACATCTTGAGGAACTGCAAATTGTATCCATGATAAGAGAGAATTCCGGATTGTACTCCTTCGATTCCGAATTCTAGAGGGGGGGGGCATTGAAAATTTTAAAAACTTGGAGGGGGGGCATCGAAATTTACCGATAACCTCAACAGGGGCCCTGTAAAATATGAGCTTTTTTCAAGACATCTTCATCCCCCCCCCCCTCGGTGTAATAAATGTACTTTCCCTAATGAGTTGAAAACTGTTGTTTGGAGTTAGCCACTGTATCTTGCACTGATGCTGATGGAAGAGTTTACATCACTTTTTGAGGTCTATGCGACTAGACAGGTGTCACTGATGATAGCTGGAGATTTTAATGTTCATGTTGACGATAACTCTGAATTAACAACCAAAAAAATTCTCAACCTTGTTGAATCTTTTAATCTGGAGCAACATGTACAACAACCAACACATTCTGCTCGTCACACGTTAGATCTTATTTGTCTCGCCATGAGGAAAATATTGTACAATCTATTGAAGTTCATGATCCATCTATATCTAACCATTACACGGTTACTTGTAAACTAAATTTTAAAAAACCATCGTTTCAGAAAAGAGTCGTGAAGTCACGTAAAATTAAAGCAATCAACATAGACTCATTCGTTAATTAATGACATTAGGCTATCTCCGATTATCACTGAGAACACAAGTGATATAAGTGCGAAAGTCAACCAATACAATTCGGAGCTGTCTAGAATTCTTGACCATCATGCAGCACTTATCAATAGAGAGATAATTATTCGTCCATGTGCAGCTGCGCCGTGGTACACGGAACAAATTAAAAGCGAAAAACGTATCAGAAAGAAATTGGACCGGGTATGGTGTAAGTCGAGACAACCCTGTGATCGTCTAAAATACAGTCAGCAATGTCGTAGTGTCAGTGAACTATTATCGGAAAGTCCTACTTGTTACTACTCTGAAATTGTTACAGATAATGCGAATGACCAAAGGAAATTATTTAAATAGTTGGAAAGTTATTACATCATGCCCCTGATCCCCAATATCCTGTGTGCCAATCTGGTGAGAATCTAGCTAACAATTTCGTGACTTTCTTTGAGGACAAAATTAATAAAATATATAAAGATCTAATGCAATTCGCTCAGTTGCACCAAACTTGCATTCCTGATGTGCCACTGTCATCTTGTAAATTGGAGCAGTTTGATGTGGTTACGTTTGATGAACTACTTCCGATAACCTTTCAAATTGCTAAGAAACGTGTCATCTTTATTCACTACCAGCTCAGTTGTTGCAAAAATCGCTTCGTGTACTGAATCCTGTAGTACTTGATATTGTAAATACATTACTACAAATGGGTGTTTTTCTATCCCTTAAAGAAGCTATGCTAAAACCTATTTTGAAGAACTCTAACCTTGATTTTATTCGACCAATTTCAAACCTTGCCTTTTTTGTCGAAAGTTGTCGAAAAAGTAGTCTCGAAGCAATGGATTATATGAACGTTATGAATCTGCGTACAGAGCATTTCATAGTACTGAGACTGCACTGCTTAAAGTCCATAATGATATTTCTCGGGCTATCGACGCCGGAAAATCTGTTATCCTTGTCCCACTTGATCTATCTGCAGCTCGTTATGGAATTTCCGGTATAATTCTGGAATGGTTTAAATCGTATTTGTCAGATCGGATACAATTTGCGGTGAAAGTGGAGGGCTTTTCATCACGTAAATCTAAGTTATCTCAAGGTGTACCACAGGGATCAATATTGGGTCCACTACTATATTCATTATACACATCCCAACTTGCGGACATTGCCGAAAAACACAGATGAGGTGGAGGTGGTCGGTGGTTCATTAAGTTAGTAGGAGTAGGGCCGTTTGAAGGGAGAAAGGGTGGATTGAAACCAAGCGGGGGTATTGGAAAGTGTTTGGGAAGGCTGATCCAGTTGAGGGTTGTAGGACAATTGGTGGTGTAAGTGGTCTATGTGAAGGTCTGAAGTGATGTGTTTGTTGGTTTTCTTCATTCATTGGATTTGGTAAGGTGCGGTTGCGATTTCTTATATGGTAAAATGTTGACTTAAGATTTCTTGCAAAAATAAGAAATCCTGCTCTATTCAGGTGTTTATTGTCACGTAGGTGAGTATTGGAGGGGAAAAGGTTATTGTGGGTGACAAAATGGACATTAGCTTTCTTTAAGAGTTTAACCTTAATTAGTTGATTCACGATGCCCACATTCTGATGTAGCTTGTCCAAACAGGGAGGAGAGAGGTTACAATGATTTTTCAATTTTGTGGGAGTTTTTGACTAATCATCTCTACAACATTTAGAATGTTGGAGACTAGTGATTCATTACTTGGTGCAGTTCTAGGTTCTTGCACAGTATAACAGTTTATGTCTTTTCAAAGAGAGTTTCTTCCAAGATATTTTTGGCGATTGATAGTGTTATTGGGCACTTGAGTCTTGAAGTATGTCTGTATGTGCAAGTTGTGTTAGGACATAAACGGTTTTTGTCAAGCATTTATCCATTCGAGTCGCAGAGTATCAGTTTCGCTCTCACATATTTTTGTGTGAAATTTATTTTTTTACTGTTCAAGTTTTCTTTATTCTTTTTGTTGTTGTTCTCCTGTTCTTCGTCCTCTAGAACAGAATACTGATTGGTAGAAGGTATTTCGACCACATGTTCTTGTGTTGTGATAGGGCCAGAGGGAGAGGTATCAAAGATTTCTGGCACTTCTGTAGATTGAGGTGAGCTCTCAGAGGTTTGAATATTGGTGGTATTTGATTCCATGTCGTGTTTAGGGTATACTGAGATGGATTTACTGCGGGATGTGTGCACACTCCCCTAGCCCTGGCCACGGGGGGGGGGGGTGCTATTTTCATGATAAAGCAAAAAAACTATTAGAGACAACATGAGATACAATAATTTGAGTGATAACATGATAAGCGAACTGTGAACAACAATTACAATTCAAATACAGTAGTCAAGCAAAGACTTGACTTGTACGTTGTCGGGCGGGCGGCGGACATAACCAACATAACTCGGTATTAGAGCTAGCAGATCAACCCCCACTTCCCTACCAGATTATGCTGAATCCCTGCCACCATGACTGCTTTCGTGCTAATTAAACAGTTAACAGTGCAATCTTGAACGGTCTGTGCCATGGCCAGGCTAGATAGAGGCGATAACAAGATAACTGCAGATTTCGGGAGATAGAACTACCTGACTAAAAATTCAAGCAGAACTTCACTCGAAAAGTCAATAATTTGTACATTCCGCATGGATGTTCATGCTCTGTGGATTATGGAATATAAACTAGGCTGTTATTACAATTTTCAAAATTGAAGTTCAAACTATAATTAACAAAAGTTCAGTGTCAAAAATTTCTTATCTTGGCCAATTTATTGTTTTACTTTTAAAGCATAATTCTCTGAGGCCTGTTTCAAACGTCGCGCTTCTCATGTGCCGAACGCATTAAAAACAATAAAAACATACAGATCGATATTAATCTACATTAACTTTAACTATGCTTGAGAAAAATTCTGTCATAAAATCTTTTTTTCGGATATTAAAAGAGTAAGATACCTGGCATTTCAGAATATAAGGTCTACCGGCAACCAAAAAGAAGAAAAACGTCAAAAAACAACAATAGAAAATATAGAATATACACTCCATTAATTATAAAACTCCACTCCTAAGCTTGGCTCCATATTGAATTTCGCGGTCGCGCCGGGAAAGACCTGGGGACTAGGTGCTCTACCGTATCTGAAATAGCCTTCACCGTGATTTGCGGGCTGTGTCATGTGTATTCAACGCGCGCATTAGCCCGCACACAGCCCGCAAATCGCAGGCTTCAACACTAAGCTGTATATTTCATACGTAGTTATAATACATAACTTCAATAAGATCCGGGATGGCCGGCTCCCTGTGTTTTTACTTCTAACAACGGTAAATTTGTATTGCTAGTAGTTTTTTACTTTAAAACAATTGCATTATAAATTTCCAGTACTGTCGTTTGTTTGAGTCAAGGTACATAGCAATACGAACAACACAATGGCTTCAACTACAATAAAGACTGGTTTAAAGAAATTGTTTCAGCATAACTTTATAGCTAAACGGGACAAGAAAATATGCAAGAACATTTTGATCATAACATGGCGTAACTTAATTGGAATCAGTTTTTGCATGTTGCTTGGAGAAACTTTGCTATTCGTATTACATTACCCTCAGTCAGAGAATCAGAAATCCCAGCTTAGGTAGAGCAATGCGTGGAATTTGACCTCTGAACAAAACGATCTCATATAAGTTTGCGGAAAAACGTTAAATGTCAAAATTACACATATTTCCTTGTTGAGGGTAGAGCTTCAGAAACTGCTCTGCGTCTTTCTTCATTCATGCTAGGAAGATACTACCCTGTAGAACTTTCCATTGTAAAATACTCCACAGATCTGAGATCATCATCATTCTCACCTTCCATGACTACAATTGTATTTCCAGTAATAACTGCACAACAATCATATCTCTTCTCCAACATAGATGGTAAGGCTGTAATCTTGCCCGTCTTGCATCATACATAAAAACATCGTTCAGAACTTGATCATCCTTAACACGACCTCCAAGTAAAACTACTTGATCTCTCAAACGAACTGTGGCCATTTCCTGCATGTGTGCATGGGATTTGATAATGATGGTAGCTCCTTACATTCATTCTTCTCTGGATCAAATTCCAACACACTGTCTAAAACATCATTGTCCCCCCAAGATCAAGACTTCATCTTTAGAAGCTTCAGCGCCTTGACAATCTCGTGGCTGGGGCATTTGGCACTACTCTTTCAGTGCGCAAGGTGAGGTAAGTTGCAATTCACTAATCACCTTAGACTTTTTATCCTTGTCATAATTATATCCACCAATGTGAATGATACGCTGTTGGTAAACAACAGTTTGATGATGATCATCTTCATAAGGGACTCATAAGGAAATTTGTCCATTCCATCCATTTCAAAGGTAATTCATTGAGATCCAAGGTCTCTATTGTCTTAGTAAGTCCCCCAAGAACAAATAGTTGATCATTATAAATAAATGATGAAGCTGCCGTATGTCCTTTATTCATTTGCGAAATCTCATACTAACCATATTTCTCGTAGGAAAATATTTCTGCACTATGTTGCGTACACAAGCGGCAGCCACCAGCAATCAAAATATCTTCTCTAGGTGTATTGAACATTCCCTTGGTCGGAGATGGCAGTTTGCTTCTGCTGATTAAACTTCTCTAACATTTGACTCATCACAACTTTCACTTTGCCCACGTCTTTGTTCACTTTGGAAAGATTTTCTTTTGCATCTTTTATTTCTTTCACCACTTCAGTGTTATTGTCCTTCATTTCTTCCCTTACAGCTTCCACTTTCTCATTTATTTATCACCTTGTCCATTTCTTTCACTGCTTCCACTTTCCCATACAGTTTTGTTATGTTTTATGGGTCACACGCCATGTTATGTAATCAAGACAATATGTATTTACTCCCAGGATGCTTTGCAGCATCTGCATACATTACATCTCCCTTTCTTATAATAAACTTGCTAATATTAATCAAGGACATAAATATCAATTTAACTTATAGCTATTCAGTTTTTTGTTTTTAACTGTTCGCAAATTATTAACTGTCACTAGTTATGATACTTTAAAGGTATAGTTACCATTTTTTTTTAATTGTTTATCAAGTACTCCCCGGTGGCTTACTTGCACGTCCAGATCTTGTTATCACAGGATTGTGTTGCGAGTCGATATACCATGGCTGGACTGTCCAATTGCATTCTTGGCTGTGGTTCTTGCTTTGCCACTGCTCACGCTCGACTTTTGGTGTTTGAATGTTTAACATCACGCCTCTGTTCTTTCTCTGACTGTTTACTTGAACGCAGGTGACGGCGGTTTCTTCGATACTTTTGTCTTTGTTCATTTTCAATGACATACAATCTTGTACTGCTTGCATTACAACATCATCAGCAGTGGATTTCTGGAATTCTTGGTACTTTTCAGGTGATATTGGTACGTGGGCTGTACGGACAGATGGGTTTCATTTACTTTGAATTCTTGTACCAGTGTTTCTTTCGTCTCTTCTAGGTAATTTCTGCTTAGGGCATCAGCAATGAACCACTCTTTGCCAGGCTTGCAGATATCTTTGCAGGGCTAACAGCATCTTCTGTAGACAAAGTGGTGCTTGGCGCAGAGGCTTATTGAATATATATTCAAATGGTTTGTGGTCCGATGTGACAAGTACTACTTTTCCAAACAGGAACTAGTGAAACTTGGTTGTACCAAATGTCTCTTTCTCGATTTGTGCATATTTTTGCTGTGTTGGTGTTAACGCTCATATGCAACTGGTTTTTCTTCTTGATAAAGCACTGCTCCAAGTCCTTTCGAACTGGCATCTACAGATAAGGTAACAGGCTTCTTGGGGTCGTAATAACTTAGCACTGGTTGCCATTCTCTTGAGTTGTTGAAAGTATCTTCTTGTTGCCTTTCCCAATGCCATGCTGTGTTCTTTTCCAACAACTTTCGAAGTGGTGCACTGACGTCGGCCATATTGGGTAAAAACTTTGCGAGATATTGGATAAACCCAAGAAATGTTTTTAACTCTTTCGTGTTGGATGGTTTGGCCATGGCTTGTACAGCTCTTATTTTCTCGGGATCTGGCTTAAATTAAGACCGTCCTTGGTTAGAAGATGACCAAGATACGCAATTTCTTCTTTTCTGATTTGACATTTCTTCTGGTTTAGCTTTAGGTTGACTTCTTAGACTCGGTCGGGGACTTTCTTCAACCTTGCATCATGTTCCTGGATATCACCTGGGGTGGCGTCTAACACGTACGGAGAACACTTTGCTTCTGGCATTCAAGCAACAACTTCTTCAAACGTTCTCATTGGATAATGTTCTCTTTTTATTGCTCGATTAAAATCTCTTGGATCAATACACACTCGGATTTTCTCGGGTTTTATTACTGTAACCATGCTGTTGACCCAATCTGTGGGTTCTGTTTGCTTGACGATAACACCAGCATCTTCCATCCTCTGTAATGCTTCTTTGATCTGCTGTTTCACGGCTAACAGGACTATCCTTGGTGGGTGGACAATAGGGGAATATGAACGATCAATTTCAATAGTATGTTCACCACGCAAACATCCAAGCCCGTGACTTATTTTCCTTTTCTTTGCAAGACTTAGAGTCGGAAACTTAAAACTCCTCGATATCCCGAACATTGTAGCACCAACAATTTATATGCATTAGCCACGCATGATCTAACAAGTCAAAGGTTTACTCTTTATAATATTTTTTTATTTAAGAGAAAAGCGACTGCAACACGTGAAATGTTAACCGCTTATAATGCCAAATAGTTTTGATAATAGGCAACAGTTTGGCAAGCGTAACCCGATACGAAGGTTAACACTTTTACTCACAAATTCACAACACTTTTTAAGACGCCATGGCTGTCGTCGTTTCCGCAAAGGCATAAAGGCATGACATTGTGTAATTCAATATATCGCGCACGCACTGCACTAAATTGCATACATACAGCTGATGAACGAGAAAAAAACAATTAGAAGTAATATCATGAAATGAGGGGTATTGAACCGCCCACACGACGAGGATCGTTTAGTAAAATTTTACTAAATGACCGGAATCAAGAGGGCGGTTTAACAGACCAAAATTTCATGTTACTTTGTAATACTAGAAGTTACTATCGCAAGGAAAATGCTGCCTCAGCCTCGCCCAAGGGATGAAAGGCAGCATGCGCAATTTGCTGAATAAGGGTCTGTTTATATGATCCCGATTTGCCAGGACGATATATGAGGCAGGATGATTTCGATGTGCTGAAATAAGTCACAGTACATAATTCAGCACAAGACTTCATTATTTTCTAGAGATGGATTATAATTAACTGAAAATGAAACTATGAAAGGTTGTCCAAGGCTCAAGCATATAACCTACTTCAACCACAAGATCTTCTTTACAACATTTGAGTTCTGTTAACCAGCATTTGAACTTTCATTTACCTGGTGACTAAGGCCCTGTTTACATGAGACCGGAACGAAGTTAAACCGGGACCATTTTGTTTCGGTCATAGTATTATTTATAATAGATGTTTACATGACACCGAGACGAAAATAACTCAGACCGATCTCAAGTCATTCCGCCTGTTGGACCGAGCCGGCTGACTTCAGACCAGCATGAATTCACGGACTGGGATGAATGTAAACACAACTACATTTCATACCGGTCTCGACTGTTACCTTGACATAGGAAAGATAATTGCTTGGCAAGTGGAATAAATAGAAAATTTTGTACCGGTCTCATGTAAACATGTTGACAGACAATTTCAATTTTCATTCCGATTTGACTTCGTCCCGGTCTCATGTAAACAGGGCCAAATATTTCAATATTTACATGAAAATCGTCCTGCCTTCTATCATGCAAGCAGCCCCTAAGACACAGAATAAAGATATACAGAAGTGTATATTCTTATTAAAAGTGCGTAAGGGATTTTTTCAGTCCGCCATGCTCTTAGCAAGTACCCTAAAGAGAGGCAGTCACCCCCCCTGAACCCCTGAAAACATATTGAAAATTTAATATTCCAGGGGGGTGAATGCTTCTCTTTAGGGCACTTGCTAAGAACATGGCCGCCAGCTATTTCGGTAAAAAAGCGCCTTACGGTTTTGTAATGGAAGTTACACTTCTGTATGTCTTTATTCTGTGCCTAAGATGCCTGTTCAGGAGGAGTTTGCGAGGTGTTTGAATATCTTTGTGCAAGGTGTTTGAATATCAAACACCTTGCACAAAGTCAAGGGTCCGCTCAACGCTAAATGTTCGAATTCTACTTTCTTGGCATGGGCGGTTTTATATGGATATCTTCAATGCTTATAACGTCTTGCTTTTGTATGTATAATTATAATACTGTAAGTGGTGAAGCTAGCCGTAGCAACAGGTCATGCTATGCAAGTTTTTAATGATTTGCATTTAATATTCAAATAGGATGCAGGTTTATTAGCATAGCATGGCCAGTTGCCACAGCTAGCTTGTCACTGAATACTGTACAATGTTTGTATAAAAATACTGGGGTTTGTTCCAATTAATCGGGTTTGTTCCACTGTATTGTTTTAATGCCATCTTCAAGGCTGCCCATATCACAGATAGAACAACCGATTAATATGTCAGCTTCAAATGACACCATTCATTGTAATGATTAAGATTGTACTCAGTCAGAACTGCAAAACTATATTAATAAGAAAGAAATCGTGAGCATTATCGAAAAATATAATATACTCTGAAATGTAGTGACACAGCCAGATGAATATATGAATGTAACCGGTAGGATTATTTCATATTATGCTAACAATGGACATAACTCAGAGTCCTTGTACAAAAGTCAGTTGTCATACTATTATAAATAATACATATATGTAATTGCTGGTACTGTAAGTCAATAGGCAATATATCCAGACAAAATCCACACTGGGTTGCAACCGTTGCTCTAGGAATCTTATTTATACAGTAAGCCTGATTTAACAACATTCCGCGTTTGTTTTTAAACTACGCCGAACATCTAGAAATGAACACTATATAAACTCATCGTCTTGACTGGCTTGCACAAGCATAACAAACAAATAATCTATATAAAGTACATTTTGACTCCTAGATTATTGACAAATAGATCAGGTGGGCTATTATTAAAACTGCCGGTAAATTCATGAAATCATATTGTTTCAGTACATCAGAGCTCTTTATAAGTAGCTACATCTTGCTTCTTTGTATTATTAAGACATTAAATGTTCTGAATGAGCATGCGGACAATGGGATATTCTGGGCTGTAAGAAGCGCCGATAAACATGGCATAAAAGCACGTTGCTTGCCTCTAGAATGAACGTCAAACAGTTCATCGCGTTGATGGATATTAGCACAAAGAAATAAAGCCATACTTACCTGGTTCCATCGAGAAGTATTCGTATACTTTGCATCAATTCAAATCCAGAGTAAAAACCAGGCTTGCAAATTATGTGCACGCAATTCAATATTTTTCTCGCACTCCCCCCGTCCGTTATGCCCCGGAATTACAACATCTGGACAGACACAAGATCTCGATCCCGACAATACATAGATCGGCGCGAAAGACTGGGTCTAGTGAGCTCTGGAGAAACCTTCATGTCAAGATTAGGAGTGCTGCCTTCGGCAGCAATTATGCTTACCGAAATTTCTTCAAACGGGGTTGTATTAGTTATTTAGTTTAATACACCTAGCATGACGTCATGCCAGGTGTGACAGGTGTATTAGTTATTAATTCAACCCGCAAAGTCAAAAGAAATTCAGGCAACCATGATATTACCGTAGTTAAGCTAGCTAATATTAGTCAATTTCATTAAAACGCTCCGCAATGGTTGAGAACTGTGGCAAAGATTCCAAACCATACTATTAAAATAACAAACGAAATCCATCAGACCAACACAAATCCCTGTTAACCGAACATGTGCTAACTCGAAAAATCTTCGCCTCCCATTCGAAGTAGCGAGGTTCTACTGTATATTAGATGGCACTTGCATGTATGATTCTTTTAGCAATAATATAAAAGACCGTTTCTGTGTGGGAGTCATTCGCGGCTAACGATAAACAGTGCTTGCAATTCAACTTTACTAGTTACGAAAATAGCTATGAATTATCATAGATCATAATATCAATCAATCAATCAATACAAATTTTTTAAACACGGTAAAATCTTCAGTACATGGATAATCTAACTATTATAAGCGTAATAAGACTGTTATAAGTTAGGCCCGTTTCATACGCCGTACTTCACATGTGCCGAATACATTAAACACAATAGATAATGAGCTGAAATGTCTCATTATCTATTGTTTGTAATGTATTCGGCACATGTGAAGTACGGCGTATGAAATGGGCCTTACATACACACAATTATAAAAAAATCTAAAAATTATCTACTACTGGTTTACAAGATTGCCGTGTGGGAGTTCACTTGAATTATTATAATACTTATCTACAGCTTTCTTAAATTGTGGAAATGTTTGAAGCTTTCGTATATCTTGAGGAAGACTGTTCCACAAGTAGGCACCACTATAACAAAAGCTTCGTTTTAAGTAATTTGTTCGTGGCTTGGGCAAATTTAATCTCGTCTCAGAATTTCTTAAATTGTACCCTGTGTCACGGACTGAAAAAAAGTCTTGACGGTATATTCCCTTTGAGAGTCTTAAAGAAAAGGCGATCTAAGTGTAAAGTATTTAATAGGGTGCTTGCTCTGGTATCGTAGCTAGACCTCGTAATGACCCTTACCGCTCGGTTCTGTAATTTAAACATAGCAGAATGTGTGCACGATATAAATTTGTTGAATGTATAAAATGGACATTCTCAGCTCGGCTGCTTTTTCGTGTTTTTTTTTCAATTTTTACTTTCTAAATACCCAAAGCTTTCGATCCGTGAGGGCTACAGAGTATAAATTCTATTTTTTCATCATGCAAACGTACAAAGAACTTATTCGTTTTTTAAATGATGTTTTTTTATGATTGCCGTTCCCGTTCCCACTTCCGTTCCCTCTTCCGTTCCCATTCCCATTCCCCGTTCCTTGTTTTAAAGATAGCCTATTTTGTTCACATTCTCAATACAACATTCAACTTTTCACAATTGAACATTCGACTTTTTACACAATTGAACTTTTTACGCAATTGAACACTCAACTTTTTACACAATTGAACATTCAACTTTTTAAGCAATTATCTTCAAAGCTGTTTTAGCGAAGTCTAAAGTTCATCAATGATCGCGGGCGTGGGTGACCAACGATGGGTGGTCAGAGGAGGAGTGGTCACTATACCACGATGCATTGCGATTGTTACAATTAATTATATATTATTGATTTTCCACGAGCGGGCGCTTATTGTTCGCTTGACCTTCACGATCAAAACAACAAGAGTGAGAAATATGGCGGATTTTGTCAAAGCCGACCACCGCCACAAAGCTTCAGTTTTGGAAGGACATGATCTTTTTGTTCATTGTGTATCGTCAGAGCCTACGCTGTTGGTTCCTATGGGTTATCGTGTGTTCAGTTTTGAATGCCGTGAGATTGACATCAGTTTTTTGGACAGTTTGCACAGTCAGAAGAATCGCTATTTTAATTGTCTATTTGTCTCTAAAAGTTGATGAAATATTCGTCGATTGCAATTATAAACCGGCCAGCATTGATAGGGATACATTCCAGTTGTGCTTTTAGGGTAAGTCGTTTGCTTTAATCGTTAAAGCGAATACAAAGGCAATGTACCTACATAATTTGGTTTGATCATAGAGGTTTGATTACTTTGGTATGTTTTTACTATTAAAGTAATTTATTTTATTATCCATTGAATTGCACGAGTCACATTAATTGCACCCTACTTTATTCTTTTACTCTGTCTCATGCCAGATTGTTTAACTCTGTCTAATGGCTGCTGACCTATCTGCTCATGTGTCTAGTTAACCCATTGAGTCGCACTGTCCCCGCATGCGCCCTGCTTTAATATTGTACTTTGTTAACTGAATATTGTTTTCATATGTTGCAGTTCTCTGACCTCGGTGATCTCGGGCAAGATAGAACAGGACAATCTCTTATCTTTGAGAATGTTATTTTGTGGGATTTCGAATCGATATTGTGCTATCCCCACCTTCTCAAACAATTCAACCTCGAGATCCAGATACTGTTAATGAAGAGTTGGACAGTGTGCTGTCACCAATAAATTTACAAGGGCAAACTGGATGTAACTGTGATCTACAACCAATAAATTTATAAGGGCAAACTGGATGTAACTGTGATCTACAACCAATAAATTCTGTGTGCTTGGTGGATATTACTCTACAGTACAGCATTGTTGATAGTGAAAAGTGGACCATGGGATAGAGATGATCCAAGAAACAATTATAACAGTGACATATAGATTACTAGAATATTGTAAATTATTTTATTTTATTATGGATCCCAACATATTTATTTTATTATGGATCCCTATACATTGTGAATTGATGTTTGTGATGTTATTCTGAGTGTGCATGCACATCGGGCAAGCTGAAAAGTTTGCCTGACCACGGTGGGAATCAAATTACCTGCGATCTTTGGGATATTAGTCCAATGCTCTACCAACTGAACTCGGCTCGGTGTGGATGCACACTCAGAGTAACATCACAAACATCATATTCACCTGTGTACATAACACCAACACACACAAGAAGTATATTGTAAATTGTTGTTATTTTATTTTATTGTGGACAAAATTTTTCCATAACTAGATTTATGTTTTTTACTGGTGACTTCTTTGAAGGAGTCAGCCTGATCTTTCTGTTAGGAAACTACAAAAAAGTATGTCATTTACTAAAATGGAAATCGAGTCACAGATGACATATGAATAATCATACATGAATAATGTTTATACACTGCAGAATAATGTTACACAGAGGTGTTACACTGAATATACAAAGACAATTTAAAGAATAGAATAGCAAAGAATAACAAAGTTTTAAGTACAATTTCGTCTACCATAATTGTTTTTATTATATCTTTGCTGATGTGCCAGGACTTTGAAATATGGGCCATTCCATTTAATATAGGCACACCCCCCCTCCTATTGAGGGGTCTGCATATCCTATGGGAGGGGGAGGAGGGGTTTACCTTAAATTTTCCTAGAGGGTAGCTTAAGAAATTTTCAAAAAATAGCAAATATAGATAAAGATAAAATAAACCTGGTTTACTTCATAAGATTTATTCACTACAAACTTGTTTCGTATGACAAGCAATGCTTGCCACACTCATCAGGTGAATTTTAAATTCTTTTTTTTTAACTTTATATTGCATGCATGTGGATGTATATATTATACATGCAAATCTCCCTGCTTCCCACAAGCACGCGCACGTTATCAGAAGTTGTGGGATAAAAGTCAACATTGGGATTTATTGCAAATTATATTAGCAGGACTGCAGGAGAAGTACAGAAACGTAATTTCCCCGGAGGGTTAAATACTTACCATAGGTCTACCGAAAAGGTCTTTTATTTATTAAAAAAAAAGTTTATTTATTTATTTATTTTTTTAAAAGGTTTTTTATTTATTTATTTATTTTATTTTTTAAAGGACTTTTGGTTTTTTTTTGGTTTGTTTTTGTGTTTTTTTATTTTTGTTTTTTAGTGGTTTTTTTTGTTGTTTTTTTTTAGGGTTTTTTCTTTACCAAATTGAGCCATTTTCCTCGGGGAATTTTCGCAAAATTAACTCGTTTAAAAGTGTTGAGAGAAGAAAAAAACACAATGTAGAAGTACTAAAGTTATTTTTTACCATAGTGAGTTTTTTAATGAATTTCGATGTTTATGTACGAGTTTTTTCGTCATTAAGTTTTTGTATACAGTTTTAAATATGTATTTAGTTGCCAACCTTAGGGATATATATTCATAATGACACAACGCTATTGTGATGTTGCACGTACTTCATGTAATACAAATTATAGAGGTTTTACTGTACATTGAAGCATTGCATGTCAAAGCATTGCATTTTAAAGCAAATTGTATGGATTTTTTTTTAAATAAAAGACCTTTTCGGGAGACCTATGGTACTTACCTGAAGGGGAGATGTAGTTCTCCGAACTCCTTCGAAGACCGATACGAACAATACCAGTGCAGATCGCGGCGCGAGCGGTCTGGGTACCACCAACTTGCAGCAAAATGAATTTCTTGCACGTGCTTTGGCACAGTTGAGATCGGAATCAATCAGCGTTAATATATCTTTCACAATAATAGCACGGTTGCATAACTGCCTCATTAACTCAGGGGCAAAGCAGTTGTCTCATAAACTGAAGGTCGTGAGTTCGAATCTCTCATGGGGCTCTAGCAGTTCCTTTGTTTTCATTAGTGAAATGAAATTTGAAAAATTGTTGAGTTAACTTAACTCTATTAGATAGATAGATAGATAGATAGATTTAATAAAATACTTCGCAGCCATAGGCTGAATTGCGTATTTTTTTTTTACAAGTAAATTTAACTAATTACGAGAATATAAAAGAAGAGTTTATCAAGCCATTATGATGACATTCCATATAAATATTATATATACAAGATGTTTATTACTTTAATATACTAAAAAATTTAAAATTATTAAAAATATTAGGTCATTTCAATAGCATTAGATAAATGATTTGCGGCACGAAGCCACAAAAAAACTAGTTTGAAAACGATTAGTGTTACATCTAGGAATTTCAAATTTCCTATCGTTTCTTAAATCATAAAAAGAAGTATGTGTAGGTGGCAGTAAACTTCGTAACTTATGATTTTCATCAGCAACTACTGTTTGAAATAAACTAGTACAAATATTTTCATGATGAACAGACAGTGACTCCAATCCACAACTAATTAAAGCGTCTTCGTAATTAGTGTTTGGACAGATGATTCTAATAGCTCTTTTTTGTAATCTTTCCAATTCGGAACGCAAGTATTTTGGCAACGAATAGTAAATGACAGGGATACCATAGTCGATAACAGATCGAATACATGTAACATAAAATAGAACCAGATCATTCCGAGGAATACTGGCCCGTTTGAGTTGGATCAGGTAATAGATTCGTTTGGATACTTTTTTAACTACCTCTTCGATATGTAGATTCCACGTCAGGTTATTATCGAATGACAAGCCCAGAAGTTTAACGGATTTTACGACTCTAATACTTTTATTGTTAATAAGTATCGGGTTAAAATCACGAGGGACTTTTGAGAAGGAAATACGGAGCTCCTTACATTTCTCTTCATTCAGCTTCATTTTATTGTTTTGGGACCATTGTGACATCTCATTAGCAATTGTCTGTGCTCTACTCTGTTGGTTTTTGTCAACTGTTTCCGATACTGTCGTATCGTCCACGTATTTCCATAAGTCAGTATCTGTGATAGATAAATCATTTATCAGGATTAAAAAGAGCCATGGACCTAAAATGGTGCCTTGAGGGACGCCCGAAGGTACTGCACCCCAATCTGAAAAACATCCTTGTGAAAGTTTGACTCTTTGGAATCTGTTACTTAAGAAATCAATAATCCAATTTATAACACTTCGTGGTAGATCTAACTGAAGTAGTTTATTGAACAAAATTCTGTGATCAATTAGATCAAAAGCTTTTTGGTAATCGAATAGAATGATTCTAGTTGTAGAACCGGTACCGTCAAGCCCGGAGGTCCAGTTATGCACCATACTAAGAAGAGCAAAAATCGTCGATGATTTAGGGATTGCTCCATACTGATTGGGGTCAATTTTTTTCAAAACAGCTGGTTTCACATAATCATTAACAACGAAATGCTCTGCAACCTTCGAAATATTAGGTGTTAATGAAATGGGCCTAAGTTCTTTTTTCAGGTCCTGTACTATTTTTACTTTTGGCAGCGGTGAAACATTCGCAAGTTTCCATATTGCAGGTAGGCGTTGTTGTTTGTAGGATGCATTTAGGAGTAGACTAATTGGGAGGGCAAGGATTACAGCATACTCTCGCAAGAGCCAATTGGGCACTTCGTCAGGGCCACCACTTTTACTGGGGTTGAGTTTTTGTAGCTGTGATAAAACTCTTTCTTCAGAAACTTCTAAGAAATCTGGGTTTTCCTCTAAGTTAAGTCGCTCTAACGGTGAAGATAGTTGATATTCTGATAAGGGCTCAAGAAAAGCTGTATTTATTCTGTTTGCTAGTTCTTGTTCCGATATATCTTCAAGACCAGCGATATTTATCAAATTTATTAGGGAGCTATTCATTGATTTCATTCCTTCTAGGCGTTTGATTTCACTCCACCAAGTTTTAGGGTTATCTTTTTCTTTACTGTGAACCTGGGTCGTATAGTATTTTGATTTACACGCTTTTCTCTCGCGATTGACAATATTTCGGTAATATTTAAAGCAGTTGGATTTTGGACCGTAACTGAAAAAGGCTTCTTGTCTTTTTTTCATAAACGTTTTCAATTTATCAGTCATCCAAGGAACATCTGCAGAGATTTTCTTAATCCGTTTAATTGGCATGAGGAGGTCAAGACCAATAGCTACAATGTCATAAAACAAATTCGCCATATCTTCACAGCTTTGTGATTGAGCAAAAATTTCAGGCCAAAGGATTGATTGTAAAAATCTCCCCATGGCATCTTTCTTACTCTGACGAAGGTCTCGTTTGTATACAAATGTAGGTTTTGCTTTCTTCACAATGTGAGTGGGTGAAACTACAACTGTGTTGTGATCAGATAATCCAATTGGAGGGAGTATTTGCGGAGACTTGTAGAACTCGTGCATATTAGTTAATATAAGATCAAGTATTGCTTCGCCTCGAGTTGGTGATTTAACAATTTGTTTCAACCGAAAATGCTTAATTATATGATTCACATTAAGACGATTGAAATCCCCAGCAATGATAATACCGCAGCTGTAAAATTTTGCTTCGACTTCGCTCAGTGTCTGAAATAAGTGACTCTGCATGCTGAAATCGTCGGCACTGCGGGGGGTGGTATAGGACGGCAACTATGATTGAGGAAAATTCACGAGGAAATCGTCTAGGTTTTAAATGAAGACATTAGATTTCGTGTTCGGAACAACATGAAATTTCTGAAAGGATTTTGAGTTTCGTATCACCGTCTCTGATATAAATACAGATTCCGCCATGGTTGTTTATAGATCTATCTTTGCGTATGATTGTAAACCCAGGTATATGCTTACAACGCTATCTGTAATTGAGTCATTGAGCCAAGTTTCAGTTAGAAAGGATAAGTTTATCTCATTTTCCATCATGAATTCGCGGACTTCGTCTATTTTAGGGGCCAAAGATCTCACCTCACTGAGGCTGAAGAAGTGCAAAAGTTGGAAAATATATTATATAAATGTTCAAAAGATGTACTGTAGCCCCTCCTCGAATATGGGTAAGCTACACTTAAAAATCTAAATGTCATATGTATGTTGCAACCATTGCATGGCAAATGTATAATGTTATGGAGTATTGCTATATATATTGTTTACAACTACTTTGTTGTTTAAGGCTATGAACTTTAAAAATTATATTTTGGATTATACTAGCAATTAAGCTAGACCTATTAGAGCTCTGACATATGCAACATAGCTTCTTTCTGTCTGGAAGTGGGTTTTCCCTAGAATTTTAGAATACGTCTTGTACGCCAACCGCAGATTATTCACTTCCAAAGTTTTGTTTTTCATTTTTTGTGCGACTTTAGCCACAACGACATATCCTTCAGCTTCATCTTCGCTTCCGTCTGGAAAAAGATATCTGATGACGGATAATGAGTCATACAACGACGTAAGCGAATCTTCATAAAATTCAACAAAGAAATAAGCTGTTGCTATCGCGCCATGACACTTAAATACTCCAAACGTATTAGAGGATTGATTAAGAATTTTTGGAAGTTGCAGAAGTGCGCGTTTAAGGGAATCAATTGCTGTAATATATTTCCGCAATTCAATTTGAATGCGGCCCTTCCAGTAATTACATCGAAATATCAAAAAATACCGTTTATCTAATTTAGGAAGTGATTCTGCTATTTGGATAGCTCTGTCAATTGCCTTTCCTGCCAATTTAAATTTTTCAATATTAAATAAGGTTGCACCCATTGCAATGTAGCCTGAAACCGTCGTCTGTCGAAAAGCAAGATTGTTTCTTAGTGTGACCTCTATCTCAATGTCAAGAGCTTCTTGAAAGAACGCTAGACCAGCTTTATACTTTCCTGACTCAACTTGTTTTAAACCTAATCCCAAATACAGCACAGGTAATAACAACCTATAATTTTCCTTGATTACTGGTAAACAACTTTTCAACAATTCCACGTACACGTTTTCATCTACCTTCAAATTTAGAACTCCCACAGAAATAAGACTATGTGCAAGTGAACGTTTCTGATCGCAATCCGTGCTAACTTCAAGTGCAGTTTTGAAACATTTTACACTTTCAGTGATGTTGCCAAGATCGTAATGCACCCGCCCAATAATAAAGTAACATTCAACTACATTTAAATACCCGTTAGAGCTTGGCTTCTCAGCATACAATTTTTTCCTTATTTGCAAAGCCTGATCAAGTGTTGCAAGACTAGAAGATAAATCTTTCAAATACATTTGCGAATTCCCTAGCAAAAATAAGATTTGAGCGATTTCTTTAGTACCTTCATTGTACAATTTCCTTTTTATCCCAAGTGCTTCCTCAAAAGATGCAATAGCGGATTCGAAATCTTCTATCCATGTATACAATTTTCCTTTCCCAATATAAACATCAGCTAGATTAACATTACTGCCGCTGCTCCCATCATTAGTGGTTGTCATAATTTCAAGAGCCTGATCAAATGCATTAAGAGCAGATTTATAATTCTCAGCATTATTCTCAGCCAAGCCAAATTTAAGGTAACAGAACCCGGTATTCCAATGTTGTTTACCATTTTGCTTAAGTGAAAGATCAAGAGCGTTACGGCATGTGTCAACACTTGGACCTTGCTTTATTTCATTATCGTCCCTAACGATTTAAAAATTATAGCAACTGAGCAATCGCTCAGAAGACCTAACCGGAAATGTTCTAGGCCTATCTGTCAAGAAACAACAATCCTCAGATATCACTGATTTTTTAAGAAATGCGATTTTTTCATCCAAAAGAACCTCTTGTCCCACACCAACACCAAGAATAGCTAAAAGAGAATCACCATATGTGAATACTGGAAATAAATATTGTGGAGCATTGTATGCCTTATTTTCTAACTGCTGCTCTAATTGATGAACAAAGTTTAAAAAGTAGAGTTGTGTCTCCGCGTTGAAAATTAGTTTTGACCACGTAGTTAAAAGATAGACAAACAATATTAATTGCTCGCCTTTGTATTCTTTTTGCGTCATAGATAAAGTTTCCTCACAATCACCAATTAAAAAGAGATTGTAATTGCCAATTTCTTTACAAACCTCGATTGCCTCTCTAGTTAGCTTCCTCGATTTGCTGCACACGTCTAAATCAGTATAAAAAAGTGCCAGGAGCTGAAGGCATAAGCACTTTACAAGTTGTTGATCAGCACAATTTTGTAAACCATCGAGATGTTTTTCAATACATTCCATACCTAACTTCACATTTCCTTTAGAAATAAGCGAAATTCCTTCATAACAACCTAATTTTGCTCCACTACCATCCGATAACAACATGACGTCTTCACGTATACGTTGAGGTATCTCTAAATACTCAGACGAGAAAAAGAAAGAAAAGGCAATAGTTTGAAAATATTTGCTGACATGCAATTTTGAGTTAGCATCATGGCATTCCTGTGTTCTGCATTGTTCTATAACCAAATCATATAATTTAGGAATATTTAGTACTGCACGAGCGGGACAACCAATATCTAACGATGCGCCGTAGGGTAAACCAATAAGAGAAAGAAATATTTCAGACTTGGATAAGATGTGAAAAAGATCTTGAGAATTTTCCAGACTACATGTACTTGTCGCAAAATGACGCATGGCAATCGATAGATTGATCAGTGTTATTTTCAACTAACGAAACAATGAGTTTCATTGCAAGAGGAACATGAGACGAAATTCTAGCCACATTTGCAACAACACTTTCAGAAAATGAAGGAAGAAGTAAACGAGCAAATTTGACAGAGGAATCTGGATGAAGGGGTCGAATTCGGATGTCTCGGAAACCTTCTATTTGATCGCGCATATTTTCTAAAAGCTCCCTCGTTGTAAAAACTATATTGATGTTATCATTACTGTCTAATAATTCTTCAAATAAACACGTAAGTTTAACGGAACTGCTTTCACTCGACAGAAGATCGTCAAGGTTATCAAATATAAGAAAAATTCGAGACGCAATTTCTCTAAAAATACTTACTACCTTGTCTATAGGTCTTAGACTAAGATCTGCTAAATTACTCTTAAAAATACTTAACATTTTAGACAATAATTCATCGACTGTTCCAATACCCTGCAATTTAAAAAAATAAACAGGGTAGCTGAGAGACAAAAGATGGCGTGCTGCTTCAATAGCTGTGATGTCTTACCAAATCCAGGAGATCCCCAGATGTTTAACAGTCGTGTTGACTGACCAGATATAAGGTTTGTAATTTCTTTAATTTCATCTTCTCGGCCAGTGAAGAATAGAACAGCGCTTGGAACATATGGCTTGGGTAATATATCTAGGTTTAATGATATGATTTTAATTAAATCGATCTTTCCGGCGTTAAATACGAGGTTCCTACTAATATTAATGGACAACTTTTTATTAACTTAGCAGACAAACTTTGTCTGAATAGAAATGTATCAACAGTGGCCTCTCACCGACTCAAATTTGTGTGAGTTTGCTAAAAGTTAAAATTTGCTAAAAGTTAAAAAAGCGTATCTTACCATGCTGCATGCATGGCACTATAAAAAGTCAAAATCCCTTATTTAAATCTCCTAATTTAATCAACAGTGAAGTGACTTAAATTATCATTAAAGACTCATCGTTACCGGTTGGATAAAGGCACCAAACTTTTCTCAGCAATTTATTACGGATCTCACCGATCGAACTGTGGCATTGCAGCAAAAATTCATATCGCCGTCACACCCACAAACGTCTGTGGCCACTCCTACATATTTTTGCAAGTTTGCAATTCTAACTTTAAACAGCCAATCTCGTTCCTGCTAACAATTGCTATAAACCGTTGTTTGGCAGTTTAAAACTAGAATTGTAAACATTTAAAAATTATGTGCGTGTAGTTATAGACATTTGTGGGAGTGGTAGTGATACAAATTATTTTGAAACGACACCACAGTTCGGTGAGATCCGTAATATAATTTGTCACCAACTTTGAATCGAAGGAAGATTGTCATTTAAAGGATTTTTTAAGAATGCAATCCATAAGCAGGTTATCATTGGTTTACAATATATTACTATATTAATTGGATTACTATACTTCTTGCATTCTAAAAGCCATTAAAAACGAATTTTAAAAAAATGTTTAAAATAAATAAAAATTATTATTATACGTATAGAGATTTACGTATAGACGGGTGACGTATTTCACGACGGACGAAGCGTATAATCATTTTGAATGGTTATACGGTTTTTGCCACTAGTGTGAAATGATGATATCGGCATTTTGATTGGTTATACGGTTTTAGCCACTGGCGAACATGCATGGCGCCCAGTTTTGAGTTTGGTGTGGCGCGAAAATATATTTTAATTTCAATAACA